GGGGTGTGGCACCGCCCATACAAACTGCAATTCTCATATCGCTTATCGCTGGAACCGCTTATGCTTACGTCCTGAAATTTGACACAGCAACATATGTTGTCAATACCGTACTTATGGCGAAGAGTGGTAGATTTTGGAGAAGGAGCGTGGCACCGCCCATACAAAGTGAAATTCTCATATCGGTCATCTCTGGAATTTTAGTTATGGAATTTTATATACCTACATTTATACACATATACAATCGCAAGAATCACTCAATTGGAAACCATATTCTCCCAGATTTTAAAATCGCATTGAATGATTGTTGTTTTGTGCAAAGGGTTTAGAAGGATCAGTGTGTTTGTCTTCCGATAGGCGGCGCAGGGATTGAGAGCTATCCTAAAAAATCATATTTATGATCAGATTTGTTTCACTTTTAGAACACATATTAGTAACATAAAATTTGGTGTAAATTGGTAGCCCAGTCGTATGATGAATAAATATTGGGCTCTGGCCCAGTCTTGATAAAAGCCCGTGTGAAACAGCCGTTAGAGAAGGAAATACTATCTTTTGTTGTAAATCTTCAGGATACTTTCTCAACAGTTAACGATTCTGATGAAAAAAACAAGAGGGTTTATATAGATGAGGGCAACTTCCAAAAGGCTCTCAGACAAATATAATGGAAAAACTTATTTCCAGTCTGAATTGGTATATGTTTGACATATTAGTCATCTATGCATACAAATACATATCGTCGTTTAAAGTACAAAACCGCGTATCGTCATTCTGCAAAACCGCGTAACTGACATTGGCTGCCAAAAATTGGATTTGCTCACACAAGCTCTTGGCTCAATCCTTAACCATTCGTCCTGAAATATACCAGCCAGAAATGCGATTGCTTTATAAAAAAGAGAACCATTTTGAAATATGAGTGTTTTTACTCTCTAGAAAATAATTTCTACAACTTCAAGTACGCGGTTTTGCATTTTGCTGATACGCGGTTTTGCATTTTGTTGATACGCGGTTTTGCACTTTAAACGACGATATGCATATTTTTATAAATGAAAATCGAGGTTCCATTTTCGGTCTTTCTCAAAAGCTACTGAAGAAATTTGGAGGAGACTTGGTAGAATTAGCATTAATCAATCCGGTATTAACATTCATAATTCGATTTTAAGTTTTCCTGTAAATTTGCTATACATTATGCTGGTGGACTTCAAAATAGTAATTCGCATGAAGGGGTTAGTATTGATGACAGGTAAAAATCAAAAGTGTATGAAAAAATATGTCGAATTTCGACAACTGGGCGATACTAGTAATAATTATTCGAAGAACGATTAAAATAATTTATATGTCATTCGAACAATTTTTCTTTGAATAAACAAAGTTATTAATTATTTACGAATAACGAGAAAAACAATTTATTCATTTCTTATTCGTCATTCGAATAAATTTTGCCCAACTCTGGTTGTAGCGGCATAACTTTTGCAGCGGCAAACTTTGAAGCGCAGTAGAAATCACAGCAGTGATGAGATAAGGTTTGTGAATTTATAGATTACGGATGCATATCTATCATATTATGTATGCATGTTCAGAAGAGATTATTTTTGCATTCAATTTTAGATAAAGCTAAAATGATAACTAGAAGTATACTGTGCCATTCTCTTTCCCATTATAAACCTAAGTCCATGTGAGTATATTCGAAATTTCGAGCATTTAGTTTTTTTCTACCCGACTAGAACTCATAACTTGGGCTATATAACACTTCAAGTTGATATAAATCTGCATAATTTTGGATTCAAATCATGCCGATATTTCAATAAAAATCCATTTGCCTTTCGGAAGCGGCGTAAAACTGTAAGTCCCTCCATTTGTGAAACAACATCAATACGCACACCACAAATTGGAGAAGCTCGGCCCAAGCCTTAGCAAAACTGTATTTTTGAACACAAATTCGGTGGAAAAAAATTTATGAACCATTTTAAAAAATTCGTTAATAAAATATTAATAAATTCATATGTACTCTAAACACCTCAAAAACATCTTTTAGTTACAATTTTTTCATCAGTTCACAGAATACGCACGACTTTATTTTTTTCTTATTCATAGCATACATCTTTGTCTGTATATATTTCAACTGGCAAAGCGGTAATTTCATTATCACATTCCATCATTTCAACATCTCGGCAGGATGCAGCCAATAGCTCCCTTCGAATTTCAGGTGTTATTTTGGGGTGCGATTGTTTTCTAAAGACAATAAAGACAAGTATTAGATTAGGACCTTATAATAATATTTTTTTTGCATTTTATTTACCTTAATAAGTTAAGCAAAGCTTCCTTTTGCTCCGAAGAAATATCATTTTTATAACGTTGAGCGAAAGTTAACAAGCTTTGGTGCCACAAAACAGGCATTTCAAGTTTATCATTTTCAAATCTAAATATGTAAATATACTTATGTACATAGTTAAGTAAATGTGGAACAACATATCGCTCATTTGCTGCAAGTGTCATAATCCAAAATATATATATGTATATTTACTTAAGTAGGCAGGAATGACCGTAACATCTTCGTCTATGTGGTGTAAGGAACCCATTAGTAGAGAATTGTTCTTCATTTTTGCTATGGGAGCGTAAGTAAGATGCAAACTTTAAAGCCATTTTTCTCGAATTTTAGATTTTTTTGGATTATGAAAGTCGTGCAGAGCGATATGTACATATTACATGTGTAGTAATTTTACCTTATAAAATGAAATACAGCTGCGTCGATTACACGATAAGGTAAGGCATAACGTTTGTCCAAGAAATACCGAATAAAAATTGAATTTGCACCAGTGTAACCCATCTCACATATTTTGAGCAAACATGCAGACGAATGCAGTACGGGAATTGAGCTGCGCGCGATAACGCTACCAAATATAATTGCTTCCCGTAGAGTACAATCACCAGCCTCCAATAGAGGTAATATTATTCCTTTCATAAAAGCAGCTGGCTTAAAGAGTGCCTTTTTAAGCGCGTTGTATAGATGCATATTCAATTTCTTATATTCGCATAGATCATCTCGTATCCTAGGCAGCAGGACCAAATTGAAGAATCTTTGCGCCATAGCGTGTGAGAGAACTGAACAAAATATACTGTAAATACATACATAAATATTAAAGCACAAATCATATGGTTTAAAATATTAAACAATTAAAAAAAAAAACTTGAAAAGCTAGTATAAACAATTATCATGACTTTCAGAAAACTGTGTTACAGTTCAAAATCCCAGAGCCGCTAGACGTAACTTATTTTAGAAGTAGCAAAATTTAAGGAATATATGGTGTTACACATAAATATGTATTTAAGAGCGTATGTGAAACTGCTTGCTTGGGTAGGTGGCCCTTTTACAGGTAGCAGGTAGAAAAGATCACACGCGTGGATACATGAGATACCTTTTACTCTATTTGTTCAAATAAAGTTAAGTGAAAGGTATGACATTTTAAGAAAAAGTAACTCGTCGTTTAAAGCACAAAACCGCGTATCGTCATTCTGCAAAACCGCGTAACTGACATTTGCTGCCAAAAATTGGATTTGCTCACACAAGCTCTTGACTCATGCCTTATCCATTCGTCCTGAAATATACTAGCCATAAATGCTTTATAAAAAAGAGAACCATTTTGAAATATGAGTGTTTTTACTCTCTAGAAAATAACTTATGCAAGCTCACATACGCGGTTTTGCATTTTGTTGATACGCGGTTTTGTACCTTAAACGACGAATTGCTTAGTTTTTATGCATACGGCTCAATACAGCGAGCGTTTTTTGCGATTGTATCGTAAGCGACAATTCATCTAAAATTTATTTTTTGTTGCAAATATAAGGACGATGTACTGCAAAATCATAGAGTTTGAATATGTACCGTTACGAAGGAAAAGCAAAGTGAATTTTATCGTTTGCTTTGTTAATACTTTTGCGTACCCGCAATTTTATGTGGAAGATAGAAAGTATGCACCTTGCTTTATTTTCAATTGCATCGTAAGCAACAAAAGTATATATTTTTTTCTCCGTAACGGTAAATATTCAAACTAGTCTAGGAAAAAATTCAAATGAATTCGAAATTGCCTTTTCAACATCAGCTGATACAGCTATATGGATGTAGATTTCGAAATAGTTTCAGTTTGTCATTCGCCTTTCAAATTGCTTATAAGAATTTGATTGTACCACGTTTCGTTCGCTTTAAATCTCTGGATTAAAGTATGTTCACATATCAATGTTATCTCAATCAAAGCTCGTTTTTTATTCACCCCGTTTACACAGGCAAATCTCAGATTATTAACCGTCAAATTTGTTGTGCTTGTTATTCTCACATCTCAAGGAAAAGTTATGTTTCTTCTCTGTGCCACCGTGAGCAATATAAATATATTTTAACTTAACATTTTATTAAAAATACCTTTACAAACCTCTTTTCCTGCTAGCGTCCATTTTTGTTTACTTTTACATTTGGCATTTCTCCTCTTTTTCGCAAAAACAATCGATAAAACTAGGATGGACACCGAAAAGTTATCGCTTAAATCTGAGATTATTTTATAATTACAGATTAACAAGAGACGAATTTTATATGGCTAATCTCTTGTTCTAATTACAGATTAGGGTGTTAAGCTCGAAAATGAGGATAATCTACTTATATCTGAACCTAGTATAAGGAAGTTATCGAAACGTTGGGCAAAGAAGTGGAGAAAAAGTGTTGTTCTTGCACATGGAAAAGTGAATCGACCAGCCTACAACAATAACAGTATATGTTTATCAACAGCAGATTCGTAGCTCTTTCCTTAAAAGAAATAAATTGTAACAGAAAATTGAAGGAATTTTTAATATTTTTTATTGAGCTTTGTACCACGATTGTTTATTAGGAAAAATTTAAAAAGCCACAAAGTCTAAGCGGTAGAAGTTATAGCAGCTATTTGGAGATCACCACATCTCCTCATTAGACTTATTTTTTCTAGACTTCAGCAGGGATCGAACCTGCGTAATCGATGTTCAAAGTCAAAAGCGTTAACCACTGAGCTATGTACATCCCGTAAACTCTTGTTGCTAATTCATTTTCCTTATTCAACCAACTACTATCAAGTGCAGCTGATTTGCCGCTATTTAAACTCGACAGCGTGGTTGTTGTTGTCAATTCTATACATCCATTTGCTTATTTGCTTTTTTGTATAGTTTCAGGCAGGCTCTTCCTAAACTATGTATTTGTCAATGTTATTGTGGCTTATTAACATTTTATTTTTAATATTTTTATTGAGCTTTGTACCACGATTGTTTATTAGGAAAACTTGAAAAAGCAACAAAGTCTAAGCGGTAGAAGTTATAGCAGCTATTTCGGAGATCACCACATCTCCTCATCAGACTTCTTTTTTTCTAGACTTCAGCAGGGATCGAACCTGCGTAATCGATGTTCAAAGTCAGAAGCGTTATCCACTGAGCTATGTACACCCCGTAAACTCTTGTTACTAATTCATTTTCCTTATTCAACCAACTACTATCAAGTGCAGCTGATTTGCCGCTATTTAAACTCGACAGCGTGGTTGTTGTTGTCAATTCTATACCTCCATTTGCTTATTTGCTTTTTTGTTTAGTTTCAGGCAGGCTCTTCCTAAACTATGTATTTGTCAATGTTATTGTGAAATATATAGATATATATGTCGGCCCCTGTGGTGTAGTGGTAAGCAGTGCGCGCTTTCACTCATCAGCACCTGGGTTCAAACCCTGGTCAAAGCAACATCGCAAAAAATATAGAAAAAGGTTTTTTCTTAACAGCGGTCGTCCCTCGGCAGGCAATGGCAAACCTCCGAGTGTATTTCTGCCATGAAAAACGGCTTCTCATAAAAATACAATCGCCGTTCGGAGTCGGCATAAAACTGGAGGTCCCTCCCCTTGTGTGACAACATCAAGGCGCAAGCCACATATCGGAGGAGAAGCTCGGCCAAACACTAACATATGTGTAAGCGCCAATCTATTATTATTATTATATATTTTTTTAAGTTGGTTTTTTTTTGCTAAAAATTACTTGCTTAAATAAGGCACATCGGAATATGCGCTCTCTGGGAAGACAATACCTGTAATTATTGTACCATGGTTTCAAACCCATTTATTTATTATTTATTTCATGGTAGGAGAGCTTCTCAAACAATATAGAAGCAATTTTTTCGATTCAGGTTGTTGAAAAGTAATGAATATCTAAATCCCGGGACTAATCCTGGGATTGTGACAACGCCATCCCGAAAATCCCGGGATCGGAAAAAGCCGGAAAATTAACATCCCTAGTACGTACATACATATGTATATGCACACATGTGCTTTCAATTTCTATTGCGAATGACAAAAGTATAAAATCAAATTTTTTTATCAAGTGCATGCTGTGTATGCTAGATCACATACAATCTGGCGCAAAATTAAACAAATTGTTTGGCTTAAAGTATAGGGTGAGATAACACTTAAAGTATGCAACGAAAATCATTTACTTCCGTTTACTTTTTATAACAGTGGTGCCTACAAAAAGTAAATATGATTGCGACACCATTGCGATAGTGATAGAGAGTGCCGATAGCCTTTCGGATCGCATTTGCTTTTCGTATCGCATTACAGAGTAACCCCCTTGATGACAGTACGAATGAAAATTCAAACGATTCATTTCGCGTGTTATTCTATTCGTTATGCATAACGCCCGTATTTTTTTTCGGTCAAAAAACAGTATATTACTGCGCAAAAATCCTGTTTCGCAGTATCTCCATTTAAAAATAAAAGCACTTTTTACAGTATATTACAGTTTTGCACTAAATTAAAAGAATTCCTGGTATGGTACACATAAAACCAGGTATTCCTTTATTGTACAGCCTGAGACAAAATGATATGTCTATGACATGTAATTCAAAATTTCTTTACTTGCCTTAATCACCAACTAGGCTAAGCTTCTTTGGGCTTATCAAAATGAATAAAATATACGACGAAAATTGGCCGGCAAATAAGATATTATGTCAAAATTTCCCACTTTGTACAAAATTTAGAAAAGTTCAAAAAAGATATTCTAGTTGAAGTGTCTAAAACATACCATTGATCTTTGATCTTTTTTTTTTTTGCTGACGACGTCACACATTTTATTCCATACAAAGTTACTATGTTCGACAGTTTGTTTTGTATGGAAGAAAATTATAACACAGTCGGCAAAAAAAAACAAAAATCAACGCGAATTCTTAGCCTATTGAAACTTGAACGTTAATAAGAGCTAAAACTGCATACTTGGAATTTTTCTAAAAATTATGAATACAAGTTTGTTGTTGTAGTTTTTTTATTAATTTCCCTACAAAGTTTGCAAAAAACGTATAAATCAGGGCTGCACATTAGCATTAATTTTATCAATAAACGAAAATACAAAATCGTTTTTGCTTTTTACATCGATCATTTTAACATTATGTGTTTATCAAAAAAAAAATTGTTTTGTTAATTATCAGAAAAATATGTCAACAACAATTTCGTTTCGTTGATTATCAAAAATATCAAAAAACAAAATTGCTTCTGCAGCAACCAAAAAATTTAATAAACACGCAAATTTCTTATTTGATGGATTTGCGGGAACAATGGGTCGTAGAAAAGTAGTAGTAGAGTCAATTGTATTTATAAGATGTTCCGCGCACACCATCCAGCTAAGCGTAAACGATGTCTTTAAAAATCAGAGACTGAAAATAAAAGTTATTTTACAATTTTTGACATCAAAAAGGCATAGTGAAAAAATTATGCTATAGCTTTTTCAAAGGTACCATTAAACCAGTGCTGCTCAAAATTTTTATATTGAAGTGAAATCACAATACATCTACAAAGTTTATGTGTACACTGAGATTTTTTTTTTTTGTAATTTAAATGAAGCTAAAAAGTACAAGTTTATTTTTATTGTACGATTAGTGAATGAAAATTGTTAGCAATGCGAGTCTTTACATACATATTTGTGAAAAATACAGTTAGGAAATGATAGCGACCTAGTGGCAGTGTGACCAGGTTAGCCTTTTTGAGGCTAGATTTAGCATTTAATTTTATGTCATAGTCTCAGAAACTTAGATCTGTAGTGCGATTCCCATTTTTCCTACCGACCGATAATCGTTATGATAATGAGCCACGTTTGTGGCTTGCAGTAGCGAATAGGCTATTCTCAAAAACACACTTAACGACATAATTCGTTAGGCATGTCGGTAAAGAAGTTTACGACGATTTTCGTTAATTGCAAAGAGAAATATGGCAATATTGACGTTTGACATTTAATATTTAAAAGAAAATTTGATTATTGTTACGCGTATTATTATTGTCGGGACTGTTGTGTGTGAATATATTATGGAAAAAAAAAAACAGAAGCGCTAGAGCTACTACGGACCAATACCACAAAATGCTGGACTTTTTCCTTGGCAATAAGGGCCTCGCGGAAGGCAAGTTCTCCGCGATTCATGGCCGGCAAGAAGCTTCCCGGAAATGGGAAGAGCTAGCAATGTTGCTAAATAGCACAAATGGTGCCGAAAAATCTGCAGCTCAGTGGCAAGTAGTAAGTTATAGTAGATGATATCTGCAAAACACAATAATTGCAATTTTTGTATTAGGTTTGGCGCGATTTGAAAAGCCGGACTTCCGTCAAGGCAAGAGAGCGCAGGAAGCAAATGGCGGCAACAAGAAATGCTCCGATGTTAACAGCTCCGCTTTCTGATTTAGATCAGAAAATTTTGAGCTTACTTGGCACAGAATATGTGGAAGGGAGTAGCCAATGTGTGGAAAGTATTCCGGAGGAAGATGTTAGTACAAATATAGATGTATATATGTACATACATAGTATGTGTGTATATTTGTATATTGTATTTGCCTACAAATATACAATTGTACGTATTAAAAAAACCATTCAATTTCGTATACATACATACGTATTTATGTACATATCGCTCATTTACTTCAATAGTGTCATAATAAAAAAGAAACAAAGATCGTGTTAAGTATGCAGAAATAATCGCTACCTTTTCTTCTATGTTGTGTAAAAATTTCACGGCTATATCGATTATCGGTAGAGCAAAATATGCATTGATTTTTACTATGGGAGTACATATGTATATGTAAATTCAAAACTTTAAAGCTGTTTTTCTCGAGTTTTTTATTTATTTATTTTTTTTTTGATTGACACTTCCAGCAAATGTGCGATATGTTCATACATACATACATATATGTATATAATTATAGAGTCTGCAAATTTCTCTTGAGAACGGAGACGGATCCGTGCTGGTTGATTACCCTGTGGTTTCAATAGCAGAAGCAGCTCCTACTCCCGTCGAGGCTACTCAATCGACAGGAACCAAAAATGCTTCGACGTCCAGGCGAACTTCGACTTTGAAGCGAAAGTCCGTAATGGAAAGTACGCGGGAGATTTTCGCTAAAGTAGCAAAGAAGCAGGCAGATGCTATGATGGTAAGTATAAGTTGCCTTATCTTAATTTTTGCCTTATATTTCGTCTTTTTACTTTAGATGCAGGCTGAAGCCGCCAAAGTGCAAGCTGAGTCAGCAAAACAGCAGGTTGAAGCCATGCTTCTACAAGCCCAGGCCTTTGGGCGCGTAGCAAACGCCTTGGAAGATTTAACAAGTTCTGTTAAGCTGCTGGTTAATAATACTGTTCTCGAATTTTTAACTTTTTTTGAGCCAAGGTTTTAATAGTTACTTCATTGAGGCATTCTAAATTCAATGGATTCTCCCGTTCTATCAGATTGGCTCCAGTTTTCGAGATAACGGCACTTGAAAATTTGCTTAAATTTCAACTTTTTTTTTAAATAACTCCCTGAGTTTTAAAGTTATTTTACTAAAACTTTGCTCATGACTGCTTTTTAATATTAAATTGACTATAAAAAATAGTCACGTGCAAAATTTTTTTAAAATAACACAAACACTAAGTGTTATTTAGAAACAATTTAAGCAAATTTTCAAGTACCGTTATCTCGAAAACTGGAGCCAATCTGATAGAACGGGAGAATCCATTGAATTTAGAATGCCGCAATTAGGCAAGATCAACTATCAAAACCTTTGCCTAAGTGGTGTAATAAATAAAATGTAATAATAAAAAGCACATATGTATGTTTGTATGTATGTGATAAATATTTATTAGTTGATTTTTTCTAAGTAAATTTAGCAGCTATAAGGCGCTCATGCATTCTCTTGGCGAGAGCTGATGGGTGAATGGATTCTTCCCAATCTTCTTCTAAAACTGCTTCCACAATTTGATCTTCACTTTGCATATCGCTGTTGTTTTCAACTGTGTTGAGTCGCATATTATGCAGAGCTGCGCAGGAGTTTACAATCCTGCCAGCGAAGCCTGGCTCGTAGATAAGTACTCGCTGCTTCGAAAGGCATCGCCATGTTCCCTTTAAAACTCCAAATAGTCGTTCGACACAGTTCCTTGCTTTACATAAAGCCTCATTGTATCGAAATTGCGGTGAACCTTCTCTCTGGTTTGATAGAGGTGTCATCAGTCATGGCTCTAATGGGTAACCCAAGTCTCCTGTAAGATATTATTAATCAAAATAAATTTCGTCAATTTTCTAAAGAACAATACCTATTATAAATGTGTTATGGTCTCCCCGATCATACGCTCGCTTCATTGCTCTCCGAACAGCGGATGCATTCCATATATATGCATCATGACGTGCACCGGGAAATCTCGCATTTACATTCAAAATTTTGAGGTTCGGATCACACACCTGTAAAAAAAACAACCACTGTCTTAAAAAGCTGGGATCCAATAAGCGAAAAAACGAGCATACAGAAATACAAATATTTATTTACATACGTATGTATGTATTTCTTACCATTTGAACGTTTATCGAGTGATAGCCGTGATGATTAATGTATGCCTCCTCATGATCTTTTGGCCTGTGCGTGCAATCAATTGCACCAATAGCGCCATCAAAAGGCTCACGCGCTGCTGAAAAAATACTTCGAGCAACCTGTCGTTCAACTACCGCCATCGGGTAACGTACGTTTTCCATAAACATAGTTTCATTTATGGCATCAGTTACCCTATGAATTGAACGACTAATGGAAGACTGACTCATTGAGAGTCCCCATTGCTCTCCCACTGGCCGTTGGTAGCAGCCGGTCGCATAAAAACGAAGCGCTGCAAGCACCTGGAATCGACGAATTTTCTTTTTAAATTGATGGCCTTTGTTTGATGATCAAGAAGTTTTAGATTTCTTACCTGTTTTTCAGCCGATAATGCTTCAAGACGACTGCCAATTTTGTCTATGATTTCATAAACAAGATTGGGGGTCAGCCGGAATAACCTTTTAAATTGGCCCTCGTCCAAATCAAAGGGGCTGTCCACTTCTCTTAGTAGAGCGCGTTCTGCTGCAAAACTCCTTGCTCCTTGTCGTTGTTGGGCCATTTCCGCATCGTATCCAAGAAACTGGAACGCCATTGTCGTTTTCTAAAAAGTTGTATTTTTTATAAACGAATTTATAATTTTTTATTATAATAGTTTGCTTACCGATGAATTTCGCCTAATTTTTCTCAATAAAAACTTAAACCAATTTTATCGTTAGGCTTTTCAACGACAAAATATTCGTAGCTAGGCTATCGACAAATTTCGTTAGACAACTGTCAAAGCTGCTGACAATATTCGCTAAAAGTGTGCTTGGGAATAGCAGTTAACGAAACTTGTCGGAATCGTTAGCTAACGATTTGTCGTTAAGAAAAATGGGAATCGCACTACTGACTTAGTGACTTTTTTTCCGTCCTTTTTTACTGAAAATATCCATAACAAAATTCAGACCAGAACTATAAAACTAAGTACCTAAGCTTACTAAAAAGCTTTAATATTTATAAAACTACTACTACTACTATTTACCGTTTTTAAAAAATAATACTAAGAATTTACATATCTGTAAAACGGTTTTTTACAATTTGATTTGTTGGCGTACTACTTCTGTGCTCTCATGTAGAAAATTTTGAAATTTTTGCATATTTTTATCCTAAACTGAACTTCTTTTTGGATATATTGAAGTATGCATGTTTTTAAGGAATGAATATACTGACTTCCTTCTGACTTCAATTTTCATAGCGTACAACTTTTTCTAACCTTTTTTAAAAACGAATTTAGCTTCGCTTTTTGCGATCATCTGGTCACACTGCCTAGTGGCTGAAAAGTCCCAAAATTTAGTGGGAGGAATCCTTGGACATATTTACAACATATTGCAAGCTCAAATTTTATATTTTCATTCGTATCATTGGGATACTCCTCGCATATAAAAGTCCCATTTTAAAGCGTTAATAAATGATAGCACCATTGAAGCAATATGCAATAAAATTTAAGGAGGGCGCCTTAAATCAAGGGTGGACAGCAGATAAGAGTTTCTCCAACATTAATTTATAATTTTATTTTTTGCGCGAAGGTTGCCGCACATTTATTGGCATTTTCCGTCAAAGTCGCGAAATTTATTTTTTCTGCAATCCGACGCTGGAAGAATATCTGCAAACCCAACCAATTTTACGCGGTGTGATGCTCCCAGGCATCTGCATTGGATTCAGATTGGAAATCAATCATTTTCTATATCCCCTTTGAAAATTTCCAAAAAGCTTTGATTGCAAGTTACAAAATGGCTTTGCAAGTAAAATTTTGTCATTCGTTTAATAATTATAAAGCACAACATGCACTAGGTACGCTTCGCACTCAAAATTTCAAAAAAGATGTCGCGCTTCCACATTTTAATGAACGCCATGTATTTTTTTTCAATACATTTCGTTTTCACTTTCAGTAAATACGAATGTTAAATCCATTTATAATATAAATTTTTTTTCAGTGCTGACATATTTTATATTATTTTTTTATTCTATAATTGTTTGTATAAATTTGTACATTTTACTGGAGTGCCTTACAGGCTAACCTAATATTCACGCACGCCGCCAATTTACTGCCAAAAATTCCTCATGCACATACAACTTGTATGGGACCAACCGAAATTGAACGGCGTGCGTATGAAGCTAACTCAATTTCCAATTTTTGTTCTGCGTGACATTTTGATTTGACGTTTCGCTCAATGAAATCAAATGCAAACGCACGCAAGCCAATTTCGGGTGACGCAAAAAAACAAATTCGACGGCGTGCGTACCAAAACGCAAGCCACGAATATTAGGTTAGCCTGTTAGCTTCATATGCGAGGGCGTTTGCTTTGCCCTCCCATATGAAACTCAGGCACTTTCATTTGAATTGTATTTATATGTCAGGGCATATGGGAGGGCGATACATTTTTTTTTTATATTTAAAGTGAAAATTTGTATATGTGCCTATACTTCAATACAAAAACAAATGTGCTACAAGTGCTTATGGAGTGAGCAGCTCTGCATTAAACTCATCTCACATTGTAGATTGTGATTCCTCCATGACTTTTAAAAATCTGACTTTTATCATTTTGAGCAAATAATACCGATTATATCTGCTTTTTATTTTTTTAAGGCAAAAATAAAAGTTAAAATTTGCCTCGACACATTTTGAAACTCGAGAGAACGGTATAAATCTGGTGCTCTGCACAAAAAAAAAATTATTTTTAACAGCTGGCAACCCTTTTAAAAAAATAAGACGTTCTTCCTTGTAGATCTATAGACCAAGCCCGTTTATATGACATATTATATCATTTTTTAAATTGCGCGAAAGGTGTAAGTCTTATGATTTTTTAAGCAGGTGGCAACCCTATTCAAAATAATGAACCTTCTTGCACATCTAGAGGCCCTGCAATTTCATTTTACACCTAATTTTTTTAATATAACGAGCTGTGCAGGTTTTATAATTTTAAAAAAGGTGGAAGCCCTTTTCAAAAATCTCATACCTTGTTGTACATTTAGAGGCCAAACCCTTTAAGAACCTCAGTTTTGAAAATCGAATAATCGGTGCAGATCTGGTGCCGTTAACAAAAGATGCCTTCATGTATTGGATTTATACATAGTACATACATATTTAGATTTGTATTTGTGTATTAGGGAGTTATTAAAATCCAGATAGGAGCTTTAAACTATTAAATTCGAGTATACACAACTCTGGAATACTTGATTTGTAACTTTGACTTTTATTTTTGCCTGAAAAAATAAAAGGCAACAATTACCGATTATTTTCTGCTCAAAAAAGTAAAAGGCAAATTTTAACTTTTATTTTTGCCTGATACACAGATATAATCGGTATTATTTGCTCAAGATAATAAAAGTAAAAAAATAACTTAAATTTTTTGCTTTTTATTATAAAATGCATAACCGGTACGGTCTCTGTTAAAAATTAAGAAACTAAAAACTATTTTAGAGAAGACCGCAATGTAGTGAGAAAGCTGCGGACGCCAGCAATGCATAGACTGTTATCGTCAAAGAATTTATTGCCTCTGATTGTCCAACTCATCTCAGAAAATATAAAAGAAGCCAATATTGGCTGGCCATTTGTTGATGAATTTTTAAACAGCTTTAGAATAATCAACAATACAACCGTAAAGTTAGCAGAAAAAAATTTGCTCTTTGGAGAAGATTTAGGTTGGCGCCTCTAAGCACTGGAATTTTCTTTTCCGCGTAAACAAGACTAGGGTTGTCTTGCAGGGATTGACAGCAAGACCGTGCAAAGTGCACCATTCATCAATCTTATTCAGGGTTCTCTGTGTCTTCCTTGAGAGATTAACCTGACGACAGTGCACAAACATCATCCGCGTAAGCTTGGATTTGAATGAAGTCTTGTATTTCCGTTAGTAGAGAGTCCACTACCAAACACCAAAAGAGAGGTGAGAGCACCCCACCCTGCGGGCATCCTCTCCCAACCGCTGTCATGGTACAAAGGCAAGCTTCAGCCCCCACGATCAGCAATCTTCTAGAGTGAATCAAAAATAGTGTTTTCAAATGCCTCCTCAATATCAGCAAAGGCTGCCATTGTGTACTCACCTACTTCCAGCCCCACCTCGATCTTTGTTACAAGGTCATGTATAGTAGAGCTGATTCACAGGACTTTCCGATTTGGTATGCATGTTGATGAACACTAAGGGGGCTATTCACCAAAACCCTTTTTCTAATGTACTTCTCGACCGTGCGCTCCAGATTTTTCAGCATGAAGGATGTTAGGCTGACTGGCCTGAAGATGTTTGCCAGCGTATAGTCATCCCTTCCTGTTTTGGGAATGAAGGCTACCCTGACTTTTCTCCTAAGGAGTGGGAACGTGGCCAAATTCTAGACAGACCCTAAAGGCCTATAAGCCTGTCTCCCCCACAATTTAGCATTTTTGGGTACACACAATCTGGGTGCGGTGACTTAAAGACGTCAAGAGGCTAAAGAAATCTTACTAACCCCTCAGTCACCACCTGTGATGCTATCACATTAAAAACGGGGCATGAACGAACACCAGCGCATAGCGTGTAGTGCTTGCAAATACAGCCACCGCAAGTGAACGATACTTATAACGGGGGGTGAAATAACACAAACGGCAATAACGCAAAATTTGCTTTATTTCACTTTTAAATGGGAAATAAAACCAAAATATTATTTATACTATTTGTAACAAAAACAGTTTACTGACAGAAGGAAAAATAACTTTGTTTATTCCAAAAATACAATTAAACAAAAACTGTGATATAATTCATATGAAGAAAGTAATATTCACAAAATATTTTTACTTATGAAAAGTCTAACAAAATATAGGAAAAGAGTCGTCTTTAATAACTGCTCAACAAATTGGAGATAGCGCTTTTGTATGAATTTTAACTGCACGCTTTTTAATATGTTGAAAACATTGCTGGAAAACCTTAAAATGTTTGCATGGAACCATGGCGCAATAAACAGGTGAAATAATAAAACAGCTTTCTCGCTTTATTTTCTGTCATTCGGCTGCCTTATAGTCAAATTTTAAAGGCAATTTTTCAAATAAAGGCGCTGGCCCAATGCAGGCTTGCTTTGCGTGCCTTGCTGACTTTAAGGTATTGGCCCAATGCAGGCTTGCTTTGCCTGCCTCGCTTTGAGAACTGTCAAAAGTTATTTGGAATATACTAAAATGTATGAAGGCTGGCCAAATGGCAGCTTTGCTTCACTTGCTTTAAGCGCCTCAAAGTTTCAAATAGACAAATGTTTTATTTGAAAGCGTTTCGTAGGCTTTTGACAAAAAGGTATGTTCCCGTTCTAAATCAATTCAAACAAACTGCTGCTCACTTTTATGTACAACATTTTTTTTTACGTAATTAAAAAAAATATATATAATATAAGTTATTCAAAGTTTAATAAAAATGATTATATGTTTCCATATTTATATTTAACATATAGCTGGCTGAAAAGTTGCTAAGTCCATTTTTACAAATTTTACAGGAACTTTGAATACAACATTTTGCGTGTTTAAAGCAAAGCAAACCTCCAAAGAATCAAAAGGATTCGATCTTTATTAAAAGATTTCGTATTATTTTGGCCTTATCGGATTTTCGGGGCCTCTTCTGGACTTAGAAAATTTGACTTTCATTGAATATAAATAAGAAAAAATAAAACAAGTACATTAATCCTTAATTTCTCTTACTAGCTAGCGATATTTATGATGTCAAACTACTGGTCAGTCGTCTCTTGAAGAATTGGATTTTTTTTTATTTTTATTAAATGTACCTATAGTTATATATGTATAATTATTATCATTCCTTTGAAATGCATTCAAATTCGCATCAATTTAAAAATAAATCTGAAAAGATTGTTTGTATTTTTTTTTAGTTTTCTGGAATTTTGTGGGAAATTATTCATAGTGTAAGGGAACAGACCTTAATTTTTTAACTACACAGCTGGTAGCTTTGACAGCGTTCCAAGCCGTCATTTGACCAAACGAGTTTTTGAAGTAAATCAAAGCAAAATAAAGTAAGTAAGGCGTGCAAAGCAAGCCTGCATTGGGCCAGCGCCTTTAGTTTGCTTTGATTTAGTTTGAAAACTTGTGTGGCCGAATGGCGGCTTGAAACGCTGTCAAAGTAACCAGCTGTCTGGTTGAAAAGTCAATGTCTGTTCCCTTAACATTAATTATTATTTTCCTAGAAAACTCTAGAAGATGTATCAAAAACTTTCAGATTTATTTTTATATTAATGAGAAATAATGTTTGTATCTAAAGAAATGGTAATAATTATACATACATATGTAATCTACACTTACTAAAAGAACTATAACTTAAAAAAGCGATTTACTTGAAGAAAAGAGCTATAAGAAGTTTTTTCTTCTCGAGTAAAAAGTGAGCTTTGCAATTTTTTATTATAATATAACGATATGTTAAATTTGATTTCGAATTGCTTCTTTTTTTAATTAAGTAAGCAAATTTTTGTTTGAATTTATGTATTTTGAACAGGAACATGCCTCTTTGTCAAAAGCCTACAAAACGATTTCAAATAAAACGTTTGTCTATTGAAAACTTTGAGGCGCTTAAAGCAAGTGAAGAAAAGCTGCCATTTGGCCAGCCTTTATACATTTTAGTATATTCCAAATAATTTTTGACACTTCTCGGAGCGAAGCAAGCAAAGCAAGCCTGCATTGGGCAGTGTCAAAATCTTTTTCTCGCTCTAATTACTTCACCTGGTATAATTCCGCCATGGCATGGAACACAGAGAATATTGTTTTGAGTTTTATCTTCAGTTAAAATTTCTGCATTATCATCACAGGTTCCATATCCGAAATTTGGATTTCGTTTACGAAGACAAAGCGAAGATGTGGTACGAAGTACCTAGTAATGTAAAAATATGTAAAATTTTACCTACTCTCAGACTTCTAAATTTGAACGTATACTTGG